ATAAATAAAAAAGTAAAGGCATGCTGTCCATCTACAACAAAAAAAAAAAAGAAAAAAATTTTTTTTAACTGGAGCAATATACATACACACACACACACACACACACACACACACACACACACAGAGAGAATATTAAGAAAAGTACACTCAAGAAACTGGCAAGTGGGTGGTGGGGCTGTGGCTCAGCGGCAGAGCCCTTGCCTAGCATGCATGAGGCACTGGGTTTGAGCTTCAGCACCACCTAAAATTAAGCAAATAAAATAAAGGCATTCTGATCATTACAACTACCAAAAACACATTAAAAAAAAAAGAAGAAAGAAAGAAAGAGAGAGAGAAACAAACAAACAAACTGGCAAGAATGGCTGCCTCTGAAAAATGGACTAGGGACCTAGGGAAGGAAGAAGACTTCTCACTAGTATTGCTTTTTTAAAAAAACATGGACTCGTGATGGCTCTTTTATTTATGACTATAAAAGACATAAGTCACAAATTCTGAGCCTCAGTATCCTCCAATTAGAAATGATGATAATAACAGCCTAATTCATTGGTTATTATAAGATCAAATGAAAGAACATAAAATGCTTTGTAAATTATAAAGCAGCACACAAAATTATAAATTAGCCTTCTAAGTGATTTCTCCAAACCTATTATAATAACTATTATCATTTCCCTGACCAATTTCTCTAAATCCAAAGATGAGAATTTTAAATGGAAGTATGCTTGTCAAGCAAGCATAAGGCCCTATGTTCAATCTCCAGTAGCATAACAAATTTTTTTTAAAAAGTAAAATGATATTTACTTGTAGAAGCATTCTCAGAATACAGTTTTACTTTAATAGTTAATGATCTCAATTTTTATTGATCTCAAATTAAATGAGTAAAATTTCAAAAACGTTGTCATACAGAAATGCTAAATCAGTTGATTAGAGAAAGAATACATGCTGTTGAAAACAAGGTAAATAAATACAATTACCATACTACTATAAAATCTTAAGTGTTTTTCTTTCAGTCTCTTCTATGCACCCTTTACTGGATTACATCATAAAATTTTTCCTGTTTACTGTAATACAGCATTCAATTATTAACATTCCTTAAACTATTAAAAGTTCCCTAACAGACATAATTTTTAATGAAGGTTTATCTTGTAGATTAGGGTTCAAGTGCTTTAAAGTGAAATTCCAGCATAGAGCTTTGTCTAATAAACTCTACCTTTTCATTTATTATACTACTAATTCTCCAAGTTACTAGATCTCTCCATCAGACCATTTTCTTTTTTGGTTTCTGGGGTTATAATTTAATTAAGCCCAAAACTCCCAAAGAAGTATATTAAGTGTTTTTATGTTACCTTGAAAAGCAAGTAAATTGAGCCCTTATAAGACTACTAGAGAGCAGAGATTCAGAACTATAATTCATTGCTAAGGATGCTTGATCTTTTTCTACCACATGTTAGTCTTTTACTAGCATTCTATCTGCAAACAAAGTAAAAAATGAAGGAATGTACTCTCAGATGACTCCTGGGAGACTTTCTACTGGACAAACCCAACTGTTCCTAATTAATTTAACTATGGCAACCACTCCCAAGTGCTGAACATTCCAAGCCATTTTTCAGAATGGTTAGATATCTCTCAAGGAAGCAGAGACTTCCTGAATAAACTATAAGTACAGGCAAAAATGAAAAATATCATTAATGTGCCTTTTCCATTGTGGGAACTCAAATATCTGTCATGTTGAATAAAATATTTCTTTTCTGCTTCAGAGCACATGTTGTAATTTTCAAACTCTGCCCTGTACTTACTATCATAATTGTTAAAACAGACCACTAAGGTGAAGTTAATCAGCACAGTGTATTTTTTAATTAAATTAAAAATAAACACCAGAAACTGAAATTATGGGAGATGTTTTCCCTCCAATTTCCAAACTGTCTGCAATATAGTTATATCACTCTTGCAATGTTTTTAAAAAGCACTAAAAGGAAGAGCATTCTTATAACATTTATTGTTTTTAGATCATACACTAGGAGTTTTTATTAAGTTCCAATTTAAGAACTTTTTAAACTATTTTTTTAAAAAACCTATTTCATAATCAAGAGCACGAACTGCACACCCACAATTCTATCAAGATACCACTAAAGGAGACAGGCATGTGGCACACACCTGTAATTCCAGTGACTCAGGAAGCTGAGGCAAGAGGATCCCAAGTTCCAGGCCAGCCTTAGCAACGTTTAGCAAGGCCCTAAGAAACTTGGCAAGACCCTGTCTCAAAATAAATAAAAAGGGCTGAGAATGTAGCTCAATGGTAGAGTACCGGGCTGGGGATGTGGCTCAAGCGGTAGCGCACTCGCCTGGCATGCGTGTGGCCCCGGGTTCGATCCTCAGCACCACATACAAACAAAGATGTTGTGTCCACCGAAAAAAACTAAAAAATAAATATTAAAAAAATTTTAAAAAAAATGGTAGAGTACCCCTTGGTTCAATTCCCTGAAACAAAAGAGGAAAAACAAGAGCATACACTGAAAAAATACAAGAGAGCATTGCACATGTTAAGCATCTAGTACACAAAGAAATATAACAAAAGAGAAAGCATTAAGTACTACAAATCTCAGTTCAAATTTCATATCTATCAATTACTAGCTTATGTAAATTACTTTCCTCATTTATAAAATGAATTGTTAGATGAAGTGAAGTAAAATTCCTAGCAAACAGTAACAGGCAAAAAGACGCTAACAGTAATATTATTATTAGGAATACAAATATTAGAAGAAGAAATAAGCAAGTGGAAAAGTTCAAAAAGAAAGTATCACAGATCTTTTTTGTAATCTACCACCATAAGCAAAAAATAAAAATAAAACTTTAAAATAAATTTTAAAGTTAAGAAAACTGAGGAGCTGGGAATATAGTTCAGTGGTAGAATGCTTGCCTAGCAATGTTGGATCCCCAACATTGACAAAAAGAAAACTGAGACATAGCCCAATGCCATACAGTTAACTGTTATAAAAGCTGGTTTTGATGCCCTTAATCCCAGTAACTCAGAGGCTAAGGCAGAAGGATGGTGAGTTCAAACTCAGCCTCAGCAACTTAGCAAGGCCTTGACTCACCGAGACCCAATGAAATACAAAAAAGGGCTGGGGTGTGGCTTGGTGGTTAAGCACCCCTGGGTTCAATCCCTGGTGCGGAAAAAAAAAAAAAAAAAGCTGGTTTTGGAACTAAAGTGTCTTTAACCTAGTATCTAATCAGCTCTAATCAGCCAGAATAAAATCATATTGATCATTTATTTTGGCAGGGGGTGGAGTAGGAGGACTGGTTGGTGGGCAGAGGAAGGAAAGCATAAACTAAAACATTTTTTATCTTCTCCCCCAAACTGTCAGTTTTGTTCGATTGATAAAAGCCAAAAAATTATAAATACAATCCCAACACAGTGCCTTATCTACATAATAGATACTTTGAAAATATTTGTTGAATGTAGTAAATAAACCTGCTCCAACACCATCATCACCTCATGACCAAAAACAAAAACTAACTTCAGCATCTGTTTAATCTTCATAATTATAATAAAGCCCTTTAGAATTTTCAGTAATTCATATAATAGTTATTCATCATTCTGCTCCGGAGAGAAATGAATTAAAAGTTGTTCCTTGCCTATCAGGTGGTACACATCTATAATCCCACCTACTTGGAAGGCTGAGTCAGCAGGACTGCTGAAGCCCAAGGGTTCCAGGCCAGCAGGGACCATAGAGCAAGACCACCATAAATAACAAAAATTAAAAATACAAAAGATGTCCCTACCCTGAGGAATCTCACATTTGAGTATGGCTGTCTAAGTGTGTGTTGGTAGAGTGGGGAGGAGAAATAGAAGGTAATAGAAACAAACCAACATTGAATGTAAAACTAGGTTGCACTGTTATCTGAGTTTTTTAGACTCAAGCAGTTTTAAAAAATTAACTTAATTTTTTAAAATTAAAATTAAATTTAAAAACCACAAATGTGCTAAATGTGAAAATAACGAGGAGGCACAATAGGAAATATTAACTGGGAAGGTTCTTTTTTTCTTGTGCCTTTATAATTGTAAAGTGTCTTAAGATCAAAATATTCTAAATTGATTTATTTGAGTTATCAATAATTAACCGCCATTGTATATTCTCTTAAATATAAGACACTGAAGATTAATACTACTGATTCTGTATTTACTCTGGGTACATGTTAATACCTAAATATATATAACCACAAGAACATATGTAAATTATTTAAGCAACTAAAAAACGGACAGAGCCTGAAGCAATGATAGTAAACAAAAACTAAAAACATAGTTATTACCCAGGGAGAAAATAAAATATGCACACAATTTAGAAACAATTTTACAGAAGCTTTCAAGAGAACAAAATTTTCAAGAGAGGAAAATTCCTGCCAGAATTTGCCAACAGAGCCAGAAATCCACAGCTTGCCAGCAGGCACCTCATGTAATGCAAGTCACTAACTAGACTCGTAGAAAGTGAACATCTAAAAAGTCAATGTTTCTATTCCTCAAATTTGAGTTTCAGAAGGACCTTTCAAAATAGACTCATGGGACCAAGACTAAACCATTACATTCCATGTTAAAGGTTCTTCCCTGCTTATTGGTCAAAAAGAATAAACAATAGCAAATAAACCTCTAAGGCACAATTCTTGCAAACTGAAGTTCTGAAGTTATTTTTACCTGAGGGATGTGTGTGTGTTCTTATTTCTAAGAAAAAGATTCTTTCACTCTCTCTATCCTAGAGTGCTAGGCAAAACACCGCAAAGTCTCTTGATCCTAACACAAAGACCAAATGCATGCCCTATCCCAGTGTTAAAGCCTTAAAAGCACCGGAAAAATCTAGGCCACGGAGACAAGATGGCAGGGAGATACCACAAGGCAGCTAAAAAGGCTGGGGGGGCTCAGATCAGGGAGTACATGGCCACTAGCTCTACAGAAAACAGGCTGAGAAGGTGAGGCTGAAGAGAGTTTTGGTCGTTAGAGCTGGAAGGGACTAACAGGTGTCTGGCACTTCATCACCCTGAACATAGTGGGAAGGCTATAATTGGCTTTCTTTACTAAGAGGGAGGAACCAAGCTCCCTGAGTGAATGATGGTTTGACTTTTTCTGTGAAGAACAAGCATAAAAGGCAAGAAGAACCTGAGGACAGGTTTTAGTGAAGATTCTCCCAGGACACACTGATCTGCTAGGTGGTTCCCAGCACCAAGCCTAGCCAAAGTGCTACACCTGCTAAAGGATGTTTCCTCTGTTATCCGTTCGGACAAGCTATTAGGTGAGAGTTCCCTACCCCCAACCGGGGTGGAAGTGAAAGTAGATTTGGGTGAAAAAGACTGAATCGGGGGTCTGACCCAGAAGTTAACCTGATCAGGAGCGGGAAAGAGCTGAATTCCTGAATTCAGGAAGGGGCGAGCAGGGCAGGTACCTGAGTAGGATGCGACCTACTGGGAAGCAAGGCTAACTGGAGAGAACTACTGGAGAAAAGGAGGGCTTCCGTCGAATTCCAGCGGACAAATGCTGCTTAGAGGGGGCCTGTGCGTCCGCTCGGGAAGGCATTGCCGCCGGTGGCCCAGAGGGCGACCCGCCTGCGACCGGGGGTGAGGCTGCTCCGCGAGAGCTCAACAGGAGCTCACCTGGCGGGCGTGTGGCCTGGAAGGGGAAACTTCCTGGGTGGGTGAGAGCTGACGCGGCTGGGCCAGCGCGGGACGCGCGAGCGCGGCCCGGGGCACAGTCCACCGGGCAGTGGGCTGGGATGGGGGCCGCGCGGGGCGGGGCGGGCCAGGGGCGCCGGCCGATTCGGGGCGGGGTCGCGGCCGCGACGGCGGAGCTCCGGCTCGGGATGGCGCCCTGGCTCAGTCCCGCACACGCTCTCGCCCGGGCGCACCGGCCGCCTAGCGCGCGAGTCGCGAGCAGCTGCCCGGGTCAGCGAAGCTGAGGGCGGTGGGGGAGGGGGCCGGGGGCATCGGCCGGCCGAGCCCGGCGACGGGCAGGCGGCGTTACCTGTGTCAGGGAGAGCTGGGCTGCCGCAGCCATGGTGTTTCCATCATGCACGGGAGGGGAAGGAAGGACTGGCGGACTGGGGCTCGGGGCGGGGAGGAGGCGGAGGGAGCGGCCGTAGGCGAGGCTCGGGCGGGCGTCTCCCCGAACTTCGCCAACTTCCCTCCTCACCCCGCCCCGCCCCGCACGGCCCCGCCCGCCGGCCCGAGCAGGCCGCGGCGGCGCGCAAACCCTGGCGCTGGAGTTAGTGCTGCCGGACCAGAGTTTGCCCTGGGCCGCCTGGGAAAACCCGGCGCGGATATGTTTGGGGCGGACGGGCTACAGAGGCGGCACCAGATTGTCCTGTGTGAACTTAAGGTAGGTCACCTACTTTGAGCTTCTGTTTCAGAAAAATGAGAGAAAGTATACCCACAGTTAATGTGGCTTCTGAGGACTAAAAGAGATAAGGATTCTAAATAATGACAGTACTATATATACTTCAGGCTCTGTCCCAGATGCTTTTGTTTTTTACTTGTATGAATGAGGGAACTGAAACAGAAATGCATTACACAAATAAGGGAACAGACCAAAATAAATGTCTTATGTAAAGATTAAATAGCTTGATTAGTATCTCAGTTTGCCTCTAAAGCCTTTCCATGTGCTGTTATTTTAAATAATAATAACTTTTTAAGGTTGAGCGCTAAGGAGCACACCTGTAATCCCAGCGACTTGGAAGCCTGAGGCAGGATGATTGCCAGTTCAAAGCCAGCCTTAGCAATTCAGTGAGACCCTGTCTCTAAATAAAAAACAAAATTATATATGGGGGGGCTCAGGATGTGGTTCAGTGCTTAAGGCCTCTGGGTTCAATCCCCAGTTCAAAAAAAAAAAATAGGTTATTTCCTCCAGTTAAAACCTATTTAGAAGGAGGAAGGAATATAGTCCTGCTGCCTGTTCCACTTAGATTGTTCAATAAGAGAGACCTGCAGAGGGCTAAGGTTGCTAAATGTAAGAACAGGTGTGCAAGGCCCTGGATTCATCCCCAGCACCAAGAGGAAAAAAAAAACACTAGGATCTGTTTGGTGCCTGAAGCACTCCTAACCTTGCCCTTATATTAGCTTGCAAACACTTCCTCCCTTCTGTGGACACAATTCAAGCATCGCCTCTTTTGCAAAGTATCTTCTCTCCAAATGAAAGTTACACATTCTCCTTTTTAACCTTTTTTCTCTACTGTATGAAATCCTCATCCCCCTAATGACTGTCTACCTCCCAAGATTAAGAATTCCCCAGTGGAAAATAACTGGTTTTGTATTTTTTGTATCTTTTTGTTTTCTCAGACATTAGCACATAGCTCAATAAAAGCCACATTAAACATAACACATCCTACTTTCTCATGCTGCCACTCTCAATAGGAATAACCAACCAGTTACTTGAAATTCTCATCATCGTAGGCTCAGTTTATATGCTAACTACCTCAAGAAGCTTCTAGAAGTCCACCCCACCTCGTAATTGCTCTGATGTGACTTTTATTATGTTCTGCTTGTTTTAACAGTTGAGGGCTTCTCTGCCACTCACTGAACTGAAAAATCTTGAGGACAGGTGACTGACTTACTGCTCTACCTCCCTCACAGTTTAGCTGAGCTTGCAGTAAAGCTGTAGCCTACCCCAAAACCCAGAATTGGTCTTTCTTTCTCAGGCATGGTGGCTTCCCACACCACCATCCAGTTGTGGTGGAAACCACAACTCTTATCAGTCCTAAACCATTACCACTATCATAGTAGTCCCCATTTGGCACGTTAAGAAGGACAGCTGAACAAGACCCAGTTGTAATTAGCCCACTTTGGTTTTTAGACTTTTTCCACCACAAACCAACCACCCACAGAAATGCTTGCCAGGAGCTCCTAACTCCACTCAGACCCCTCTGACCAGATCCAGCCTTAAAAAGCAAGCCATACAGGCCTCCTCTTATTTAAGAGATTCTCCCTTGGCCACTTTATGTTTTTTTGTTTTTTTATTCAAAGGAAAAGGGAGTAATACTGTTTTAAATAATTCCACTTTGATGCATTTAACAGCAATAACCACAAGTGATATTTCTATTGGAGTTTTCTATTTTATATTATCACATCTGCATTTCACAATTCACTTCACAAATGAGGTAACAGAGTGTCACAGAGGTTAAGTGATTTGTTCAAGGTTATACAGATAATCTCCAAAGCAGTATTGTTATAGTGAAATGAACAGGGCTCAAACATTAGAAACAAGATTCCAGCTTTGACTCCAGTATTTACTAGTTACATGACCTAAGACTTGTTATAAAATAACATATGAATGCATCTAAAGTTGTAGATACACAAATTAAGAAATATGAAAGTCATAGAGCTGACTGGGCATGGTGACACATGCCTGTTATCCCAACTACTCCTGCTGAGGCAGGAGGATCACAAGTTAGAGACCAGTCTCAGCAATTGAGCAAGACTCTGTGTCATAATTTAAAATTTTTAAAAAGGGATAGGGACGTAGCTTAGTGGTAGAGTGTCCCTGGGTGGTTCAACACCCAGCACCACAAAATAAAAATAATAAAAATGAATGAAGGAAGGAGGGGAGGAAAGAAGAAAGAGAAAGAAAAGAAAGTCATGGAGAAAATTGGTTTGGGGAATACAATTTTACTTTCTATTCAAGGAAACTCTTCCAAACCTCATGTGATCCAAGACATTATCCTTGGATGAATTAGGTAGAATCCCAGATGTCTAGAATTTTCTGGAAAGGCAGTGTGTGGTAGTAGACAGAACATTGGAATCAACTTAGTGTGTGCCCTCAGGCAAACCATATAATCCATCTGGCCCTTAGTTTCTCATGTATGATAATAAGCAAATCAATATGGAAAATGTTAAGAAAATGTAAGGGACTATTATCATTATTATGTGATTTATGTTGTCAAAAATGATACCTTATACCAGCTTTTGGGGAGGCTGAAGCAGGAGGATTGCAAGTTCAAGTCAACCTGTACAAGACCCTGTCTCAAAATTTTTAAAAAGGGGTGTAGCTCAGTGGTAGGTGTAGCATGTGTAAGGCCCTGGATTCAAACCCTAATAACCCCCCAAAAAGTAGCATCTTCTATTTATATCATACTGCTTTTCACAGTTTATAAATGTTTATATTTACAGCATCTAGCACAACTCCTGATGCCTAATAAGTACATTATAAAAGTGTGTTGAACTGATTGGATACAGTAGTACACACCTGTAATCCTAGCTACTTGGAAGGGGCTGAAATAGGAGGATTGTCATTTCAAGGCCAACCTCAGCAAGCCCTCTCTCAAAATTAAACATTAAAAGAACAGGGACCGGGGCTGGGGATGTGGCTCAAGCCGTAGCGCGCTCGCCTGGCATGTGTGCGGCCCGGGTTCGATCCTCAGCACCACATACAAACAAAGATGTTGTTGTGTCTGCCGATAACTAAAAAATAAATATTAAAAAAAAAAAGAACAGGGACCAAGTACTCTCGTAATCCCAGCAGCTTGGGAGGTACTAGTTTAAAGCCTGCCTCAGCAAAAACAAGGCACTAAGCAACTCAGTGAGACCCTGTCTCTAAATAAAATACAAAATAGAGCTGGAATTATGACTCAGTGGTTGAGTGTCCCTGAGTTCAATCCCCAATACACACCCCACCCCACCCAAAAAAAAAGACAGGAGATGTAGCTCAGTGGCAAAGTATCCCTGGTTCTATACACAGTTCCACAAAAGAAAAAAAAAAGTTTGTTGAACTGAACACACAATCTTATATATAGTTATTTGTTCCTTGATTTTCTTATCTGGAGATAAAGTAAAGAAACAAATTCTGTAAATAACTTGTTTAAGTGGGGGCCACTTAAAGAGGGTTTGAATCTTGGTTAAAAAAAAAAAATAGAATCAGACACCTCCCCTCAAGAGGGAAAGACTCCCTTAAAATTATTATATGGGAGTTGTTCCAGGCCCCTTCCAGAACCTAATTTGCATTAGCTTGTTTCTCTGCTTACAGGCTCTGGTTTCAGTTAATAACTTGACATGTCATGGGAGAGCCAGCCTGTAGGAATGGGAATGATGGGCCAAACTCCCAAAACAGGCCTAGAACTTCTGAAACTGGATTTGTGTGTGTGTGTGTTTTTCTTTTTTTAATGCCAATGACAATTTGCAAATGTGTGTGTCCCAGATCTCATCAAAGCACTGGGTCACATCCCAAATCTATTTTAGGATCATAAAATGTAGCTAATGGAAGATATGTTATGATCTAATTCATCGTAACAAGAGTGAACTGCATATGAGA